CGCGTGGAACAAGCTGTTGTTTTTGTTGAATGAATTGTCATAAATGACTGTCGTGTCATTCTAAAATTTTCTCCCTACTCGTTGTCTATGAGGTGGAGCAGGGAAACATCCCATCAGTCCTTGTTTCGGATTGTCATCCAAAGACGCATTGTTTTGGGTGCGGAAGGGGCGTTTTTACTGCTTGATAAATACAAGCAGAACGGTAAAGGTTCATGTGCTCATCGCCCTCCTAATCAGGACCCGAAATAGATAAATATTAAGTCTGCTCTTAAAACAAAGAAGCAATGTAAGAGAATGGCTAGTTTGCCCAAACAGTGGGAAACTCTGTATATTCGTGCAGTGAGCGCATGTACAAAAAAATCTATTCCGGTTTGTATCTTGTGACATATAAACACGCACATCAACCCAATCACTTTATTTAGCGGTCATGTAAACACTACATCCGGATTTATCAATCGGAATGAATTAATTAAGATTGAAACAAAAGTCTAGCTATACTTTTTCAGTTAGATTGTTACCTAAGATGGCAGAGGGGTGGTTAGCTAGGTCATTAGTAGTGCATCTCAGTTTGTGTATTATTACACTATGCCCTTTTGTATAGATAGTGTGAGTAGCGTGTTCACACTGGAAATTCCAACAAGTGCATTTCAAATACCCCGATGATGCTCTTAAGTAACCGAGAAAAGCAAAGTGTGGAATGTTAGACACTTTATGCACTTGCATCTCAACAGTCGCAGCTTTCCTTGTGTAGTCACTATCAGGCCATGAAGGTGGATGACAAAAAACAATATGAAATTCACACTGAACAAAAATGGCTCATAGTCCAAAGAATAAGTGCATAGTGTACTGTATGTAATCTAGAATACAACATCTTGGGATGATCTGGAAATGGAGAGTAAAAGAGGAAATGCAAAATAGAAGAGTGCTACCCCCCCCCCCTTTAAGCCTCCTAATTATTTCGGGGCTCCTTCACCCCTCCTCAAGGAGTAGAGTCTCTTTGAAATGTCTTATTGAGCCGGCCTTGATTAACGAAACTTCTGGTGAGTTGATGAAACTGCACTTCACAGGATTTACTCATGCTTACCACAGTTTTTCCCCCCGTCTTTGTTGTTGTTGTTTGCAGTTTCCATCTCTTGGTGATTGTGTTTAAACCCCACTCTCTCTCTCTCTCTCTCTCTCTTCTCTCTCTCTCTCTCTCTCTCTCTCTCTCTCTCTCTCTCTCTCTCTCTCTCTCTCTCTCTCTCTCTCTCTCTCTCTCTCTCTTCTCTCTCTCTCTCTCTCTCTCGGACAGAGTTATCTGTGCTGTGGTAGCTTATCAGTGTTGAGTCCTCTGAGCTCTGGGCAGACAGCTCTCTCCTGCATTAGCATCTCAACAGTCTCAGCTCTTTCTCCAAATAGGCTCTCGCATAACAGTCAGACACAATCTGCACTACACACCTCAGGAAAATGAAAGTCAAACAGGAGCCTGGGGAAGGGTGTATTTATGTTTGTGTGTGTGTGTGTGGTCAGCCTGCTGAAGTCATTAAGACCTCACACACACACGGGTAAATTATTGGTCTAGATGCCTGTTTGTGTTGAAAGTAAAGGCCTCAGGAAAAGAGAGACTCTCCACACATTCTTTAAACTGCAGTGTTTTATTATACCACTTCATGCTCACTCACACCTGACGGACCAAAGAGTCAGCGCATCCCTCAAAGATGTTGCCCATTTATCAATCTTTCTCTCAACTCTGGCTTTTTCTGGACAAGTTGGGATAAACTGTGGCGCTAATAGGATCACAATTGCGCACATCGTGCAGCTGTGCACAGAAGTCCAACTAAATAATAATAAATATGTGAAATTTTGGTTTGTTTTTCACCAAACCCTGTCGTTTACCCCAAGAACACTAGGAATGTATGGCACTTGTCACATGGGATCATTCTGTGATACTTTCGTGTCTTTTTTATTTTAAAGGCACACTATGCAGGAATTCCGTTTTTGTCAAACAGCGACCCCTAGAGTCGCTGTGGAGAACTTGTATTTAACGTTACTGTCGGAAATGCCACTCACGCAGAGCGTCTGCCATAGACTGGTCTCTGCACTCACGGCCTGATACCCCTTTGAAGGTGTTATATTAAGGTACAAATCTTGCATAGTGTGCCTTTAAATAAGAGATCTAGCCCTAAAATGTGTTTTTGAACTCAACCTGAGCGCTCGTGTCCGCTGCTATCAGTGTCATGGATACATAGTGTCTCTTGTTGAGGCGCACGCGCAGTCGGACGCGCTCTTCAATCTATCGCAGTTGCGGAGACTCTCTATTCATTCCGGTGAAATCACAAAATAAAATGCACACAAACTTAGAAAGATTTACTTACTAGTCCATCAACAAGATCGCCAGGTCAGCATCACTGTTGCATCCAGTGCTGCTTTTCAGCTCGCGCCAACGAGTGAAAGTCCGACACTCTTGTCCGGTTCCTCACGCGGTCAGATTCTCTTTTCCTTTTCCTAGTCTCTTCCGACCGCGTTTTCTTTGCTTTTTCCATCGTCGAGTATCACGTCTGAAATGCACGCAAATGTTCAAATGTTGTTGTTGATGTGTGTGACGTCGTTGCTGATGTGTGTGACGTCGTTGCCGTAAAGCATGTCGTGATTCTCGCGAGATTTGTCGGGGGCGCTCCTCTCAAACTTGCATTGCCGGTTTTTCCAGCGGCGTCCCCCCCAAGCTTTACTACCAGGATGATTCGCCCTACTATGAGTTTGTTTACCACCGAAATGACTTTGAAGCTGTTATATTAAGGTACAATTCTTGCATAGTGTGCCTTTAAAAAGCTTGATGCTGGTCGCTATTCACTGCCGTTATATGGACAAGATTTTAAAAATCCTTTTGTGGTCCAATAAAAATGACTTAATGCAATAGAACAACACTAGTGTGTTACGTTTCTACGAGGGAGGACTCAAATGCAGAAATGTGTTAACAGGTTTTATTGAAAGACAGTTGACAAGACGAGATGGTGGTGGGTGAGGAGGTGAATAGTCCAAACAGTAGGCAGGGGTGAGGCACAAAGACAGGCAGGCTGAGAGAGCGCTGAATCCAACCCAGGATGATAGTAGGAGGGAGGGTAGACACAGAAGGCCAGCAAGAGACTGTCTTGCTGCTTGGCTGATGGTAAAAGCGGCCAGGGAAGCTCAGCTTGGAGACAAACTGGGAAGACAAAAGACACAGCAAGCACAAGAAACGACGAGACTAGACGAGGAGAGATTTAAGTTAGCTCTGACTAGAAATTACTAGACTGTCAAACAAACAATGTAGCACAACATCTATACAGAAGAACAACATCTAACGAACTGGCAACACATGAGGGAAAGAGCACACATATAAAGGGAGCTAAGAACAAGAGGAACAGGTGAGCACACTCAGACAAGGAACAGGTGACCACACTCAGGTAAACGAGGACTCAAACAAGGGAGCAGAGAACATGAGGAACAGGTGACAACACTCAGACAAACGAGGACTCAACTAGACAAGAGGGTGTGGTACAGGGTAACAAGGAGGCAGGAACAGAGCACATGGCCAACACAAACAAAACCATACGTTCAAGCACAACACAAACATAGAGACATGAAACAAAGACAACACAGACAAAGCTGCCAGAGCAAGACCCTGACATAGTGTAAGTAAATTATGACTTAAATTTAATTTTAGAGTGAACTATTCCTTTAACTCTTTCCCCGCCATTGACGTAAATTTCCATCATTTATAAGACAATGATTCCACGCCATTGATGGAAATTTCTGGCTTTCCGTGTTTTCACTGTTATACGTTAGGGGACGCTATTACACATCTTCTGAAAGAGTACAGAATCTCTTTATCAAAAGACATGTGTAGAAGCAGAAACAAGCGATCTCATATGTAAGCAGATGCATATGTAAAATAATGCGATCATCAACGTTAAACGGTATATAAATCAAAACTGCATAATGTCATTGAAGTAAAGGAGAACTCCGGTCAATTTTAACATTGAGCTCATTTTTTTGTAAATTTGGAGTGCTGTCAGTACAGATAACAACGACAAAAATCGGTGTTGCCTACACCATGTTATCCTCTTTTTAAAATTTGCACCCTGTTGACTTAAACTTAACACGGTGTGTAGGCAACACCGATTTTTGTCGTTGTTATCTGTACTGACAGCACTCCAAATTTACAAAAAAATGAGCTCAATGTTAAAATTGACCGGAGTTCTCCTTTAAATGTCGACCCAGGACGAGCTATGGGACTGAAGCTTGGGGGCTGTTAATGCACTCGATCTACTACATCTATGTTTTTATCATCGTTCTGAATCAGATCTGAATGTAGTCTTTGACAAAAATGCGATTTCTCAGCTTTTTGCTCAAAATGTTTTTTTTTAATGAAAATTACCCTCATTGAAGTGTTGATAAAAAAAGAATGCATTAACCTAGAATGAATTTTTTTTGTTAATTTGTTTAAAAGCAGAGGGTCTGTTCTATCTTTTGATATATTGCATGTTCAGATATTCATACAACAAAAAATTCTAGGGGCCATGAACATTTTGTGAAAATGAACAAAAAAAATGCTTGCTTGTGGCTGGCAACTTAAAAAAAACTGGCGGGGAAAGAGTTAATAATTTACAAATAACTTTCTCACTCTCATATTGTACACAATTTTCCATACAATGGCAGTTCATAGTGAAAAAACGCCAAATACGTATTTTTTATTTATTTGTTGCTTATAAAGACCGATGGAGAAAGCTGCTTTTTGGGATTACAGCATTTACCAGCAGGGGCTATGCATATAGGCCAACCAGCCAAACATGGAATATTGCATCAACCAATCAGCTTCCAGAATTCTCCATTTTATAAAATGCTTTATAAGAGTTCGATGTACCATGTTTACAAAGTCATTGTCGGCCTTCTCTCTCTCTCTCTCTCGCTTTCCTCCAGCTCCTGCAGTGGCTAACTGTACTCACTCATGTATGACTCTGCAAATATTCCTCCATGAAGAGCTATTAGTTGTGGATTAAAGGCGGATGATCGCTGCCTCAGTGAAACGGACCGTTCTGTCCACAGCTATCCACTTCCACTCCCACTATATCATCCCACCACATGCCAAGAACATTAACTGCTGAATAGGGGAAAACAGAAAAAAAAAAGGAACATTTGAAAATTAGTCAGAAAGGCAGACATCATGGAAACTATTTCAGCAGGGAATGTAGGAAAACAGGATCATGCGGTAGGGAGCTGACTAACTCACAGACATGTACTGCGGCTCGGCACCCGCGCGTGTAGGAGATCTGAGGGCCAGGAGACAGTGAGTTTACACAGGTTTATGTTGTGCTGTCTGACTTCTTAATAAAGTGACTGATGGGTTATGTTTTTGTGTGTGTGTGTGCAGCAGCCTCACAAAGATGGTGGAGATTTCAGGAGAACAAGGGCCTCTAGGAATACACGTGGTGCCGTACTGTTCCTCTCTCAGCGGAAGGTTAGTTCAGCACTGCACATTTCTCACTCTCTCTCGTCCTCATACACACACACACACTCTCTCTCTCTCTCTCCATGATGCATGTCTTACCTAAAGCACCGTTATGTGCGCTAGAGAAATCTAAAGCTCCACTGCATTCATTCAGAGCTTTGTTTGTATGTACGTTTTTTGTTGTTGTTGTGGGGGATTATGGGAATGTTCTGTGCTGCTCTCTTGCTTTTGAAGTCATGAACCAGAAGTGGGGTGTTATAGTCTTTTTAGATTTAAGACTGTCTATATGCTAGTGTACCACTTAAGGTTGTCAAACATAACGTTTAGCAGAAATGCGAATTTAAAGTCTTTCTTTTATGGGAAAACTGACCAAAAATATTGATGACTTATCCTGTTGTTGTTGTTGTTGTTGTTTTTTTGTCCAATCAAATTTCCTCTTGGATGACAATGTCCTGTCCCACTAATACCACCTGCAGCGGATTAGCAATTAGCTAATCTTGGTTCATGGCTGTGATGTATTGTAAGAATTTTATTTATGGGACCAACCCTTCTACAGTTATGTCTCCTCTCAACTTCTTTTTTTTATAGGAAATATATTATGGATTTCATCCATTATTCATGGAGTCTTTGAATTATTCCAAAACTGATGTATTTAATCTTTCCAAGCAAATGAGGGGTCACATTTTAATTTTAAATGATTATTTTAATTTCACAGCCCAGAACAGAAGATTCTGTGGGGTGGAAAAAAAAAAACATGCATATATATACATGTGTGTTTTGCGTTAGTTTTTATATTATTTATTTGTGGTCATTTTTTTTTTTTTTTTTTTTTTAATTCCATATATATTTAAAAAATATATATATTTATTTATTTTTAACTCATTTTATTCTGCCGCTCAAAGAAATTTCAGTGAAATTGTATTGTTTATATCTCTGGATTGTTTTTTTTTACATTTTAATTTTAAAAGATTCTTTTAATTTTCAAGACCAGATCAGGAGATTTATTCAAATACAGGCGGAAATATAAAAAGTTGTTATTATTCTTTTTGTAGTTATTTACTTTAAATTATTTATTTTTACTTGTGTAATTGAATTAAATTTCTATTAAATTATGTTTATTGGTTTGTTTGTTTTTTCTCATTTTAATTTGAAATGGTTATTTTTTTACTTAGTCCAGAACAACTTTTTCAGTGAGGGAAGAAAAATGGAAGAAAAAAAAACAACAATAAATAAATAAAAATCTACATTTTGGTCAAACATCACAGTCAAACACCTTTTTCTGAACAATAAACTAACATAAATGTGCATTGAAAAGTTAAATGTGGTCTATTTTGATTTCATTGTGACTTTAAGACTTTGTATAATGATCTGTGTTATCTTTGTGCACCTGCATAGTTCACTGTTCATCCAAGCCAAGTTGTTGAACACTGAATAGGCGTTTTAAAAATATGGACAGTCATTTCAGTTCATGTGCTGATGTTGTGGACTTTTTTTCTTTTTTTTTTTTTCTTAAATGCTTCAGTGGGGGAAACAGGTAGCGAGAGTAAGTGAAGAAAGTGTGTTCCTGTGGGAGAGAGCTGGGCATCCTGTGGTCATCAGCTGGTATTTCCAGTGGGTCAGCAGTATATAAACCCGCAGCTCTCTTTGAAGACAGGAGCGGGGCTGTGGGGTCAGCATCGACTGCTGCTGGCTCAGGGAAACTCATCACCACGTTTTGTAGGGGTGAATTAGAGGGGTTAAAAGTTAAGTACTTCAGCGGTAAGGGTGGTGGGGTTGGGCGAGACCATTTGCGAAACAGAAGTTTCAGTAATTTTTGATTTAAATGTTACATGTACAGCCACAATACTTTCTCCAATGCTTATCGCCAGCTATAGTTTTTGATGTACAGTAGATTGGTGACCATATCAGTATTAGTCAATATTAGTTTTATTTGTAGTTTGTAGTACAGTACACGACCGTTCAGAAGTTTGTGGTCAGTAATATATTTTTTAAATCTCCTATGCTCAAGGCTGCATTTATTTGAGCAGTAACACAGCACAAATAATACAATTGTGAACTATTTTATATATTAAATACAAAAATGTAATCAATTCCTATGATGGCAAAGCTGAATTTTCAGCACCATTACTCCAGTTTTCAGTGTCACATGATCCTTCAGAAATCATTCTGATATGCTGGTTTGATGCTCAAGAAACATTTCTTAATATTAATGTTGACAATAGTTGTGCTGCTTAATTAAAAAAAAAAAAAAAAATTCAATTAAATTATACTGTTAATATAATTATTGTATACTGTAACTAAATTGTATAACTTTTTTATGAAAACAAAATAGTATAGATTTAAAATATCGGTTATCATATTCTTATAGGCAGGCCCACATTAGTGGTTAACTGATATGGATTTTTCAATGACTGTTGGAAAAAAGTATAAGTAGAGAACAGACTGGCTGAATTCATGCAAATATGTATATGTGTATATATAATGTGTTGTTCAAGCAAGTGCAGTTTAGTAATAGCAACTGAAAGTAATTTACATTTTTAATACAATATTTACTTGTGGGAAATGTTTTTCACAAAATCAACCTGTCATTATTAAACTGTTTGCTTAGATTGAATATAGAACATGAATATAATCTTGTAATCATCATTGACCAGCACATATTTGCCGTTACATTCCTAGCTTCAATAGCGTATATAGTTTGGAGTTTTTGTGCAGAATATAATTATTGAACCAAAAAGCTGTCCTGATTTGAATGTGTTTGATTTGGCCGGTGGAAGACAGGCTATTAGAGGTCACATAGTCACAAAGTGCAATTTCTAACATTCACCTCACCTGAACTTATGGCTCATTTAATGACCAGATGTTTTTACGGTCGAGCGCTCCTACTGTCCGTCATGCACTAAATAAGTCTTTCTCTTTCTGACTGAAACTGAGTCATCAGAGAGAGTCACGAGGGACTGAGACAGCACAGGAGTCTTAATAAAGACGGATATCTCCCTGTAGGATTGAGCCTTTTTTCTCTCGTTTCTCTCCCCCATCCCCCGCACTCATGTCTCCCAGAGGCCGTAACCTCCATCTGTTTCCTTTAGACATGCTGTGCCCTCTCTCTCTCTCTGCGTGTCAAAGGTCACCCCATCTTAAGACTAGCCTTAATATTCTCCAAACGAGAGGCTAGCGATAACGTAAACAAGCCTGCTGGCTAATGCAGAGTGACTTCATGTGGACGGGAAGCCTTTAGCACATCTAATGGAGGGGTGAAGAGATCCTTCCTGAGCATTAGCAGGTCACACTCTCACGTCTTACACCAACACAAGGCTAATTCGCTCCAGATCATGCGTCTTTCTCTTCATACGGATTCCATGCCGCTAATCTGACCTCCGGTGTGTTATTGAAGTTTTTCCGCATGCTTGTTTTTGCTATTGATCTTTTTGTTTAGTCTGAAGGTGATAATAGGAGACGTTATTAGTTTATATTAGAGCTTGTGACTACTCATTTTTACTAGATGACCAGTTGAAAATGCTGAATAAGATGCAGTGGTAACGTATTCTTGGAGTTAGGCTGTTTCTTTATCTATAGATACATTTTTATCTGATGTTTTTCATGAATTTATTGTGATGCAATAAAATATAGTACAGAAAAGGTATAAAAGCTGTCACTGGGGCAGTACCCTTTCAAAAGCTACTAAATACTTCAGGTATTGATATGTTTCTTTAAGGCAATATGCACTCTTTAGGGTTAAATAAGGTACAAAGGTGCACATTTTGAAAGGGTACAGCCCCAGTGACAGATGTTGTACCTTTTTTTTTTCCTGAGAGTGTAAAATGATTTGTAGGGTAATGGCAATGTGTTGTGTATGTGTGCAGCGTCTTGGACTTCAAGACAAAGTTTCTTTGAGGACAGTAAATTTGTTTTCATTTTCACATTAAACACATAAAACATATAGCATAACATGTATGTGGTACTGTATAAAATAACCGCACTGATTGTATTGGCCAGTGTTTGGCCATTTTGCGATTGGTGGAATCAGCCAATTACAATTGGCCACTCTCATAATCTCATAATCACTGGTGCATATTCTACCATTCAAAAGTTTGGGGTCAGTACGATTTTTATTTATAAATAAATTTTATTCAGCAACAATTCATTAAGTTGATCAAAAGAAACCGTAAAGACATTTATAATCTTACAAAAGATTTCCATTTCAAATAAATGTTGTTCTATTTATCAAATAATCCTAAAAAAATGCGTTTTCCAAACAAATATTAATTCATTAATAATAATAAATATCTTGAGCTCCAAATCAGCATATTAGAATGATTTCTGAAGGATCATGTGAAACTGAAGACTGGAGTAATGATTTTAAACTGCAGCTGTGGACATGTAAATGTTTTTAGTGATGGGTAGAATCATACACACACCAGTTATTGTTGCTCCTGCTGTGTTTGCTGGCTGTCAGCAGCAGACGACAAATATGCTTAGTCTCTTTCATACACTCACCCAAAACACCACCTTTATCCCTCCAGTCAAATATCACTTCACTGAAGAAACAATTTCAGTCCAGTGTGTCTCCCCAAATCTCCATCTAAATTTCTGCAAAGGTATATTCTATAATTTGCCAGACACTGCTGCGGCCCACTGTAATGCATGAATGTGTTATTCATTGAATGGGCTCGTGTGAGGTGCCTGCGGATGAAGACTGAGGGATTAATACTCGTCTGCCGTTCTCCTGCTTTATGAGTTTCTCCAGCCTGATAGCCTTTATCACTGCCAGCCATAGCGCTGCTGTCTTGTTTTGCCAAGCGCTCTGTGTATGCGAGTTTTGTACGGTGCTCAGGAGGGCAAAAGGAGGACAATAAAGCAAAACATAAAGCCAATGGTTTTCACTCAGTAAATAGCGAGAAGGTTTTATTGATATTTTATACAGTAGCTGAGATAGGTAGGTAGATGGATGGATGGATACAGTAGCTGAGATAGGTAGGTGGATGGATGGATGGATACAGTAGCTGAGATAGGTAGGTGGATGGATGGATGGATAGATAGATAGATTGATTCATTGATTGATTCATTGATTGATTGATTGATTGATTGATTCATTGGTTGATTGATTCATTGATTGATTGATTCATTGATTGATTGATTCATTGATTCATTGATTCATTGATTGATTGATTGATTGATTCATTGATTGATTGATTGATTGATTGATTCATTGATTGATGCATTGATTCATTGATTGATGCATTGATTCATTGATTGATTGATTGATTCATTGATTGATGGGAAAATAGTAAGGAAGTAAAATACATTTTACAATATATAACATGAAACAGTGTGAAGTACTCACATCAACAGATAATTCTTTAGAGGGGAGCAACATCTCAAATGTATCTGGAACATGCATTTCTCTTGGACTAAAACAAAGCCAAATGCATAGAGGAGTCTTTTCCCCATTTCAGAAGTACACTACACTTGTGTGGACAGTATTGATGTTATTACTTGAATAGTACTTTTTTTGTAATTACTGTGTAATTATTGGTATTTGCCATGTGTTGTTGTTCTATCATGTTACACTAGTGCAGCCTGTTATGGCTGTTTGCTGGCTGGCTGGTGCTGTGCTCTTTTTTGTTGGTAATTTATGGTTTGTTCTCTTTCAGGGCTCTGGGCCTGCACATTCGAGGCGTGGAGGAGAACAGTCGCTCCAAAAGGGAAGGCATCTTTCATGACGATGAGTGTATCGTTAAAATTAATGATGCTGAATTATTGGACAAATCCTTTTCACAGTGAGTCTCTGAACTGAAGCTTTTCTGCTTCACCCTTCTGCTCTGCTTTCTCTGTCTCTACCTCCTGACATCATTTCCTTCCTGTCGTGTAACTTAGTTTTTAGACCCATCTTTTCATGTCATGGTTGTAAAAACAAGCATGGTGTCCATTGTTGTGCTCGGTTTATGGCTGTCAACTCTTGGACTGGTTTCAAAAGGAGAAAAACACTCAATTCATGGCTTCAGAGCCCTTTCAGCGGTCATGGTCATTTGCTGAGCTCTGTTTGCTGTGTGTAGCAGATCTCCTTCTCTTACACTGCATTACTACACACTGTCATGCTGATTAGAGATCTGCTACCCAAACCAAAGTCGCCAGGGCCCGACAAATCATCTGGTTTTGGGTCAGTTTTCAACGTATAATGTTAGATTTGTGTCAGTTTCAGTGAAGCCTGTTACTTCTATACTGCAAGTGTCACCAAATATAATGGAGAAATGGTGTATGTAAATACACTACAGTTCACAATTTTGGTGTCAGAATTTTATTTTTATTACAAAAAAAACAACAAAAAAAACCAAACAGTGGTGCAGGTATGGCATCAGAACCAGGAACTCTAATTCGCCATTGGTTCCTTTGAGATTTTCCTATAGGGATTTATCATGTTGGTAATGTCTTGCCTTGAAAAAAAAACAAAAAAGATTTGTTGCCTGCTCATTTTTCATAGCAAACTCAAGCTAGAGAGAAAACAAAGAGAAAACAGATCAACAAGATTATACATCCATCATATACAGTCATGTGAAAAAGAAAGGACAACCTATTGAATTCTATGGCTTTACATATCAGGACATAATAAAAAGGAACATAAAATGCTCCTCGTATAGACTTAACTTTTCATAGATTGTGCTTTATACAAGTTCAGTCTAAAGACCTTGCCATACCTATTGAAACATTACCCAGTTGTTCCATGGTCATTATGTACATTATGCATACATTGTATATACATATTTCTGCTTAGGAGAATTACTTCTAACCAGTAGAAGGTCACATTAATCTTATTAGGCTCAGGATGGATGGACGGTTTTTAAATTAAATCAGTCGAGCAAAAATGAAGGAGGTGGATTGCTTTGTCATTTGTAATGCGAAGGACTCATTAGTCATAACCCCAATTATGCTGTCAGAATAAATGTCAGAGTGAGTTTTATCTAAACCAAGACTATTCAATATATTACAATTTCCCTCCTTTTTAGTTTCCAGGTTCATTTATTCCATCAAATAACCTGCAAATAATTATTAAAAAAATGGATTGTCTCTTAATTGCTTTTTTTATATCCTGTGTCCCTTATCTCTCTCTCCCTTGTCTTTTACCAGAGCACAGGAAATATTCCGTCAAGCCATGCGTTCACCCATCGTTCGTTTAGAAGTTGTTCCAGTTTTTAATAAAGAACGCTTTGAGAAGACTGTGATCGGGCACCTCTTCAACTCCGAAAACCCTGATGCATCCACACGGACCAAAGACCCTCCGCCGCTGAAGGTGAAGCCCACGGTGAGGCCTGTGGAGTCTTCCTCAGGATGGCAAGCCGAGATTCAGGAGTCCAGCAGCAGTCCCGAGAGTCGCTCTCTGGGATCTCCATTACCCCTCAGCCTCTCTCCCACCCCCAGAGGCAAGAGTGCCGAAAGCCCCCTCCCAAAAAACAGCTTGGGACCCTCACCTCTTCAAATCCAAAACAAAAAGGGTGGAAAGAGACTCAGAATCGACCTTAAGAAAGGTAAACAACTGGGAAAGATACACTGTAAAAAACGAATTGTTGAGAACTTAAATTCAACACTGCATTCAGATTTTTCAGGGCGCCTGTTCACTGAAGGATAAATGCCTCATTCAGCCAATAAATTCTAGGCAACTACAGATTTCTTATTCAGTAAATTTCGAATTAGTAACAATAAATTGATCTACAATTTTGGTATCCGTGTACGTATAAACTAAGCAAAAAAAAAAAAAAAACCTGCTTTTCAAATGCTTTTTTTACAGCATTTTTTAACATGCGTAAATATTTGTGTGAACATAATAAGATTCAACTACTGAGACATAAACTGAACAAATTTCACTGGGATTTGGCGAACAGTAATTAAATAATGAGTCCCTGAGCAAAATCAATATCTGTATTTGTGTCTGTATCTGGTGTGTCCACCAGCTGCTTTATGTGGGTCTCATCCTCAAATCTGCAGCAGATTTGCCAGTTCTTGCTTGATTTTAACCAAGGCATTTGCAAGTTCTCGAACATGTCTGGGGGGACACATGGTCACATGTGGTTTGGCACTGCAAGGACGGTCCTTCCTGTCTCCCTGTAGCACTGTATTGGGCGTTTTACATTGCGGACATTGCAGTTTATTGATCTGAAAAACACTGGGAGAAAGATGTCCAGGGTCCCTGATCACCAGCGTGAACATGCCATAGTCCTGCTGCAGGAGGCATGAGGACTGCAGATGTGAACAGAGTCAGTAGAAAGGGCTGTTTAGTGTCCGAAGTTTTTGTAACGCTAACCTTAACGGTCTTAACGGCCTGTAAACTGTTAGCATCTGAAGGACTGTTCCACAGGTGCATGTGCAATAATGGTTTATGGTTCTTTGAACAAGCATGAAAAACATTGTTCAAACCCTTTCCAATTTGGATTTAAGAAAATTATCTTTAAATTAGGGTTGTGCCAATGGACGATATCATCGTCCATCGTGATGGCTGACCGACATCACGATGGAGAGCCATCATCGTGATGCCACGCCCCCCCCACCCAGACACACACTAATCTTAGTCTCTAAACTTTGCAGGGATTGCTCTGTAAATTAAATTGAGAATATAACTAATGCATATGCATGCTATTTTAAATACTGTAGTCTATGCCAGAGACGCTATAGTGCTTTCACATATGCTGCGTTTATAGTGCGCAACTGATCCGCTGCTGTACCACAAACACATTTACTCACTATTAATATTTCAAATCCAGAAGCTATCAGCAACTTTTATTTTAAAAAAGTTTTGTCAGCATTGCGATTCTCTTTGTACACATATACACTCTTTAATAGACGTATTCACGTTTAAACACAATTTGCAGCACAGTAGAAATAGACTCGTAAACATAAACGATCTCTGCACTGCTGTATACACACCGCACCTGCAACGGATGGCCGGACCGCATCCGCGTGCAGTGTGAAATAAGATGTCAGGATACACAAATATTGATCTTGACATTGTTAGCCTCTTGTCTTTTTTACATGTCTTACACTGTACATTTAACTTAAAATATTTAATTTTGTACAAGAAAACAGCCCGTATTAATGAATTATTTGTAGCCTATCGTAGTGTCTCACAAACAATGTGAGAAAAGTGGATGTTACCTGTTCTGATGACATTTTCCGGTGAAAATTATTATGTTGGTCATACTTCCAAAAAGAATAATCTGTGATTCTGAATGCCAGTATCGACACCGGCACGGTGACTGACAGCCTCACACTCTCCTCAAACATTGTGTTCATCCGCGCTGTGCCGTGTCTATGAAGGTAAATCAGTAGCCAAACTCGAGAGCACGTAGATGTGAATTTGAGAACTTGTACAATAAATATTCGTACTTGTATGTGAACATTTACACTCACAGCTCCGATGTGAAAACCTGTAAAATAAAAATCTGAACTTGAACGCTGAGATTAGCACTCGCAGACAATAGTCACAAACCTGTATTCTGAATCTGAAGCTGCAGACAAGCAGTCACAAATGTGTAAAATGCCATTCACAGAAATACAATGACAATCACAAACATGTAAAATATATTTGCCCTTCTTCTAACAGCAGTACAACCTCAAATTGGGACTTGCAACTTCTCAAATCTGTCACTGCAAGTTCAAATTTCGCGCCTTGACTTTTGCTACTCTTTTCGCGATATATGAGGTGCAAAACTGATTTGTGCACTTGTAACTCAGTGGCGGTGAGAGCGGAAGGGGGGCGGGAGCGGGGGTGTTCGAAGGAGCCGTTTTATTGGTTGGCGCCTAGCCAATGAAATGGGACTTCTATTGTACGCGATGATGTCACGAAACCCGCCTCCTCGTGGATGTTCTGAAACGCTAACATGGCTTAATGCATTAGACTAATTTAAAAGACATAAATTATATTATCAATCTTAGTAAACACAATAATGCATACTACAAAAAAGCAGATGAGCACAGAATATGAACGCAACACGTTAACTTAAGACAGTGGTATTAAAAGACCAAACTCAGGAAACACCATAAATAAAGCATACAGAAAAGCAATTGAGCAGAAAATGAACGCAACTCGTTTAATTGTACGTTAAGCATTTTCCTCTCATAGAAAACCAAGAAAATGCTTAATGAGGCTTAATGGACCAACAGTTATATATATATATATATATATATATATATATATATATATATATATATATATATATATATATATATATATATATATATATATATATATATATATATATATTCGTTATACATTATTAATTAAACACAGGCAGCTGGTTTATTTGCACTGAACACAAATTTGCTTTCTTTCGTCATATTCTGTGCTCATCTGCTTTTCTGTAGTATACATTATTAGTATGGTGTTAATATCACTAAGTTTGATAATATAATTTATGTCTTTTAAATCAGTCTAATGCATTAAGCCATGTTAGCGTTTCAGAACATCCAAGAGGAGGCGGGTTTCGTGACATCATCGCATACAATAGAAGTCCCATTTCATTGGCTAGGCGCCAACCAATAAAACGGCTCCTTCGAACACCCCCGCTCCCGCCCCCCTTCCGCTCTCACCGCCACTGAGTTACAAGTGCACAAATCAGTTTTGCACCTCATATATCGCTAAAAGAGTAGCAAAAGTCAAGGCGCGAAATTTGAACTTGCAGTGACAGATTTGAGAAGTTGCAAGTGCCAATTTGAGGTTGTACTGCGAATTTGAATGTTAGAAGAAGTGCAAATATATTTTACATGTTTGTGATTGTCATTGTATTTCTGTGAATGGCATTTTACACATTTGTGACTGCTTGTCTGCAGCTTCAGATTCAGAATACAGGTTTGTGACTATTGTCTGCGAGTGCAAATCTCAGCGTTCAAGTTCAGATTTTTATTTGACAGGTTTTCACATCGGAGCTGTGAGTGTAAATGTTCACATACAAGTACGAATTTTTATTGTACAAGTTCTCAAATTCACATCTACGTGCTCTCGAGTTTAGCTACTGATTTACCTTCATACATGTCGAGGGTGTCGAAGTACAACTCACGTAAAGTTGATAATTCCGCGAATGACTGCAATTGCAGATTTCGAACAGAGATGGCGGCAAAGAGGAAAAACTGCGGACTGCAGCTTTAAACATCTTAGTATTTGTGACTCAAAAAATATGGATGTGCTTTTTTACAGTCTAGTAAGACCTGAGATTACTGATACCTGGGATATTAAAATGTCCTGACCGTTTTTTTTTGTAACATTTGAATTTTTTATAGTTTTAGTTAATTTTTATTTTATTTTTGTTTGTTTTTTTGTGTGTTTTTTTACCCCCTGAGTGTCCTTGGACCCCAGTTTAAAAAAAAAATCTTACATAGTACATTAAAACTCAAAAAAAATTGAGCAATGAAATTCCTGCAATATCTTTTAAATGAATGTACTTTCTGTTAATATGATTCTCTCCCTCACTCCAACATTGGTCAACTTTGTAGTCGGGGGGTTTGGCAGTCTAACCGAATGAATGAAGCTATAATTTCAGGCTGCAAAGTCTATTAAGTTCTTATTGATTCTGCCATTAATGGTGATATAAATTCATTGCTGGAACAAAAAAGTGCTGACCGTTAAACGATTGTGCTAAATGACGAGCATAAAATGCCGTCAATTTTTCCACAAACTGGCTTCGATATGTATTGTCCTCTGAAGTCTGATGCATAGCGTGTTAAAGAACAACCACTGGCCCTGAGGCCGTCTACTCTTTAGTTTCTTCACCCACATGCTCTGTCCATCATTTTATCCCTGAGCTCAGGGACAGGACTGGAAATATCCGCCCTAAAGACGTGCCTCGTGTCACACGGGGGGCTATAGCCCGTTCTCTAATCTACCTATCAGTCACCGTGACAGCATCAAGAACGCCGTAAGAAGCAATATGCACAGGTCAAGGCGGCAGCACGGTTTAAATGGACCACCACCTGTGCTAGACAGCAGCCTCCTCTAATATCTGGGCTGAAAGGAATCACACCAATGATTTCTTGTTAGATGCTTATTTTTTAACCATTAAGATTTTATTTATTTTATGTGGAACTGTTGAATTTCATCTGAAGAGTGTAAATGTCAGTTTTGGGAGGTCGTTCTTAAATGGCTAATGATCTTTCTGTTGTGGGTCAAGGTGTTGTTTGCTTTAAGAAATGTGTATGGTTTTTAACATTATCTCTCCCTCTCGCTTTCTCTATTTGCTTACACAAACAAAGTCTCTGATTCGGTCTTTCATATTCATTCACTCTGTATCTCTTTTTGCCTGTCCTTGTCACTCCGGCTCTTTGAAATGTGCTCATATGTGAAATTAAACCTCAGTTTCTGAAGCCAGGTGACTCTAATCTCAGTCTCGCACAAGGACAGCCTTTATCAGCCCGACTCTCCCTGACAGGCCTCAGACAGACCCACCCCAATGTACAGTATAGTCTATGAGGAGTTTTATAGAGACAGTCTAATGATTATTTGAGGTTTGAGGTGTTTATAATGCAGGCATGTAGTGTTTGCTACATTTCATTTACTTGAAATACAATTTTGTCACATTGTAAATGTCTTTACTGTCACTTGAGCAGTTTGAGGCATCCTTGCTGAATAAAAGTATTACATTTCTTTCTTTAAAAACAAACAAACAAAAAAAAGTACTTACCTCACACTTTCCATATGTTGACATGAAATTAATGTTTTTTTTTTTTTTTTACTTAGCGGTTGTTTATATACCCATATGACACTTCAAGTATGACGTGACGCTTTGTAGATGATGGGCTCTTTCACAGACTCCTCGCTGACATAAGCGTGCTGACTGCGTAGAGAATAGTCTTCACACACGAATTAGCGTGACAAATTCGGTTTCATCTGTCAATCATTTTAAACTCTCTCAATCTCCTCACAGGTCCTGAAGGTCTGGGCTTCACCGTTGTGACCAGAGATTCTTCAGTGCACGGGCCCGGCCCCATCCTCGTCAAAAACATCTTACCAAGAGGAGCTGCTGTCAAAGATGGCCGCCTGCAGTCAGGTGACAGGATACTAGAAGTGAGTCTCGTTCTAGTATAGTAAAATGTGACTACTTTAAATGGAAAAACTCTTTCATTTCACATCAGTGTGAAGTTGCATATGAAATCCATTGAAACCATGTGCATGCGTGTGTTCAGGTGAACGGTGTGGACATTACAGGCCGCTCTCAGGAGGAACTGGTGGCCATGTTACGCAGTACTAAGCATGGGGACAGTGTGTGTCTTGTTGTGGCCAGACAGGAAGACATGTTCCTTCCACGTGAGCTGGTAAGAGTCTTCTCTGTCTAACTACAATAAATCTAATGCAGCGCTACAGTCATCAGTTCTTCAGTCATTTACACCTCTTCCTATTCATTGCTAATTAGGGCTGGGTACCGAGTTCGGTACTTTTTAGGTACCGACCGAATTGCCTCGATACTACCGAGTATCGAAACATGTCTTGTTTTTCGGTACCAAATTTCGGTACCTAAGTGGTTAATCTCGTCAACGTCAGTGAAACAATAAGCATTCAGTATGATTGGCTGTGGCGGAAAAACACTAGTTTACGCGGCTGCCCAGAGACGCGGCTCGTCGCACGTGAGGCTGTAGTGTGTGTGTGTGTGTGTGTGTGTGTGTGTGTGTGTGTGTGTGTTAGAAGCGCACAGAATACACTTGAGAGTAATGGTGTGTTCACACCGAACGCGAATAGAGCGTCAAATACGCGTATATCGCGTCTAGTCAGACGCTTAAATCTTCCGCTCGAGTTCAAATTTTTCAAATTGCGCGGAAGACGTTCGCGGCAAACGCATCATTCGCGGCGCCCGGCGCGAATGATGCGTCTATTCACGTCTTTGCATTGACTTTGTATGTAATCTACTCGCACAAATAATTAAATTCGCTTTCGGTGTGAACAAACCATTAGTAAACACTTGTTCATTAATAAATAATTAAAATATCTCCTTGCTATTGTTTCCACATCCATAATCATTAGGCTACTTTTGCCAGTGCTTTGCGGCAAGCTTCACGTGCTGAGCGCGAGGCAAATATCCCGCCCCCCAGTAGCCTATATTTAATTTAATTCACATTTATTTGTATAGCATTTTTCACAATAGATATCGTTTCAAAGCAGCTTTACAGAAAATGCATGTGTCTAAATTACAATTTAGAGTGATCTGTTATCAGAGGTGACAGTGTAATGCATTTCAATTAATTTTCATTCAGTTTCATTGTTAAACAATGCATTAAGGCAGAAACAATGAGCTCATTGAAGTAAAGAATACATGTTGTTAAATGATGAAATGATGAAACTTTAGCATTGGTGCTTTTTTACAAACTCAAAATATGAGTGTAAAAAAGTAAACAAACTGAAAAAGAAAAAAAATTAGGTAATGTTATATTGTTAAAACTGGTTACATAAAATTGGTATCGAAAAAAGTATCGTTCAGGAACCGGTATCGAAGTCAAGGTATCGGTATCGGTATCGAACATTTTGTTACGATACACAGCCCTATAAACCTTTCTTAAAGTCTTTTCCTCTCTTGGTCTTTTCTTCCTTTCCAGTGCATGAATAGCATAAAACACAATGCTTGAATATACAAAACAAACACCCTAATAATGAACACTGCAAGTGGCTTGGTTTGTGTGTACAAGATGGTGCAGTGTTTCCTATATAATTTATTTGTGAGTTGGATTGCACTGGTTACAGTGCTTGTTTGATTGTTTTTTGTGTGTGTGTGTGTGTGTGTGTGCAGCCTGCAAAGACATTGCAATAGGAAGATGCGGTTTCAGCATGACGCTGTAGTTTCAAAGTGACTTTGCAGGAAACACTGACAAGAGTTGTGCCTCTAAACAAGAAACCTGTGCGGGACGTATTTTTCAGTGTAGCCACAACCTACACATTCAAGCATAAATGCTCCTGATAAATTATTTGTTATTAAAGCATCCACATTCACAAACCACTGTTCATTTTAACAGAAAAGCAAGCGTAGGCTACTGCATGTGTGATTTGGCAAGGCAGAAAGCGTGCAAAGAGCGCTCCCTTTATAATCTCATAAAAAGCTCACTCATTTTAGTTAATCGTGATCTCACACAGTTCCGTTATAATCAATGAAGCTGTTTACACTGCTCAGTTAATCGTTTATTTACATTGTGTCTAGAATTTCATTTGATACAATTAGAGGATTCACAAGCCTTCAGAACTAAAACTCAAACAAACTCCAACTTAAACACCTCTGATTGGCCAATGTGTTCAAGAAATCAACAGATGTGTTTGGGATTGGTTACATTGCTCAATGCAGCAAAACGTTGTAAATAGAAACCTTTGACGCCCTTCAGAGTGCAAACACAAATACGCATTGGATTGTTTGCCAAATCTGTTTCACCAATATGCTATTATTACAGAGAAAACTGATCCCAGACCAGCAGTTATGGGCAGCTTTTCCCTCTAAAAGCAATCAGAAGCAGCAGCAAGTAGGGGAAGGCTAAGCCTTGTCCAGCTTTACACACCTTTGCTTACATACTTTACACACCCAAGGCTTATGTTTGCGCCTGTAAAACCTGTTGCTTTTGTGCAATAGATTAATAATAATTTATTTGTTTTTAGATATTTTTATTTGAGATATTTCTATTTTGCGGGAGTCCACAAGTCAATTCATTCTCCCGCACCCCCACTTGCCCATCAAGTCTTGTCCCACGCCGCACTTAGGTCTCTACTCTAAACGTCCACTTACACACTCTCCAGTACCTCTATTCACCATTTTCATTTATTTTTCCTGTCTTTCTCCTGGATTGTGTTTCTCTCAAGCTTTCCACACATTAGTAGAATTTTGCTGATATTTTTGTTTAGACACTTTTTATAGTGACAGGCCTGCTAGATAAATCACGTTCAAGGGACAGTTCATCCAAAAATTAAGATTATTCTATCAAAAATTAAAACTCACCCTCACCTTGTTCCAAAACTGTTTAATTTTAGTTAATCTTTGGAAGACAAATTCAGATATTTTTAAGAGAAAGAAAACTAATTGGTTCTCACGTCAAGCAAGTTCAGTTAAGCTTCTGTGTTTACTATATTTTATGTGTATATGTATGTGCATTGATCAGTGTTAAATGTGAATAAAAGCTGAATTAAAACGTCATATAAATAAATCATCTCTTCGGAGAACTTGAATTAAACAGCTTGATTTATACGGATTACTTTTAGGATGCCTTTTTGTTTGCTTGGACTTTCAATGGATGGACAAAAATGATAAAAGAATATTCAAAATATGTCCATTTTTGTTTCCGAAGAATGGATGAGCTATCGGTTTAAGTGTCTTGCATCACTGCAGGTTCGAACCCACAGCCTTTAATTTACCATTTCAGATGATTAATCACTGAATCAAACAACCCCACATAGATAATTGAGCTTTAAGACAATGAGCAGACTGCATAGAAGACTGTAAGGTCCAACAGGAAATGTAGTGGCATGTTATTTGGGTCATTTGCAGTGATATCATGTGTCTCTGAGGACACATTTCTCTGCACAGTCATGTCTGTCTCTAAAGCCCAACGGGGCTCTGTTTGCTGTCTTAGTCGTGGAAGGTCATAGTCACGCTGTAGTTCCTCAAGCCTTGAGGACGGGAAGTCCTGAGCTTCCTGCCTTTGTCTCAACCCTCGTAGGACGTGTAAGTATGCTAGCTTTTGTCTGTTCGGATGTTCAGACGTCTTCACCTGTCACTCTCTCTCCCCTCAACTTTCCCTCCCTTTGTTTTTGTCTGTTTGATATCTTTCCTGATGAACCTGGCGACCTACGCACCCGCCGCCGGAGCGCTGACCTCTTTACACACACCCTTCTGCCCACCTTGTAGACTGGTTTCCTGCTCTTATCGATGCTTGTTGATTCAGTGCTGGGCAGGAAGTGGCGCATGAGGTCAGGGCGCTCCTACGGGAAGTGCTGGAGCATGCGGGCCTGTGTGAAGTCAGGCACTACAACTGTGCAGCTGTGTGTTGGCTCTTCCTGTATCTCCCTCAGCTTGGTGCCCGTCGATCCACAATCATCCAAATTCTGCCCCACTCAGCACTTTCTGTAAATAACCAAATGCTGAGAACCCCGCACACTTGGCTGTAACCATAGCAGTGCCACTCAAACTTTGGCCCCTCGAAGGAAATGAGCTACAGCCTCCATTGTCAACATCTTTCATGTATTTATTTAGATAAATTCACAGCAGCATGAGAGGAATTTTGACTCAATAGTTGGGGTTAAACAAACTATTACCTTTTCGCCCTATAACAGGCAAGTCTTTGGAGTTGCACACAATTTACAGTGAAATTAAGAAGTAATGCATTACATTTAAAAGTATTTTTTAAATATATGTTAATGTATGTGCACTACTATTCAAAAATGTTTTTGAAAGAAGGCTTTCAAGCTGACCAAAGCTGCATTTATTTATAAAAAATATATAGTAATACCATGATTGTGAAATATTATTACTATTTAAAATATATATTTTAAACATAATTTTGCATGTGCACTTTTTAATTTTATAACTAAATTAGTGCTGGGCAACGATTAATCGCGATTAATCACATCCAAAATAAAAGTTTATGTTTACATAATATATGTGTGTGTACTGTGTATAATTATTTTGTATATATAAATGCACACATATGCATATATTTAAGAAATATTTACATGTATATACTGTATATATTTATACATTATTTATATTGTGTGTATATATATATATATATATATATATATATATATATATATATATATATATATATATACATACATACATACATACACATTTTTCTTAATATACATGCATATGTGTGTATTTATACAAAATAATTATACAGACAAAATTACACACAAAAGTACACACATTGTACACACAAATATTATGTAAACACAAACTTTATTTTGGATGCGATTAATCGTTGCCCAGCACTATAAAATACGAATTATTATTTTTTTAAAGTTATTCAAAAACCATTGAAGTCATTCGGGAAGGGTTTGTTTTTGACTCAAAACAATGAGTATATTTACATGAGCAACAATATACTGATAACCATCTTATTCTTGCATGTTAGATGCATGTAAACACACTTACTGTCCAAATTAAGGTTAGACCTATGACACATTTGAAACGTTTAGTATTTTTTTCAATAATTTATATATAATTGGACACACATTTATCAAAAATAATGTCAAAAAAGTAAAACACAATGCAAACAATGTTAGTGATCATCATTTCTCAATATAACTGCACCGTTAATCCAGATAATATTTAGTACTTTGTGAGCAT